GAGAAGTGAATATCAACTTACCATCTGGTGTGGGTAATAACTCAACACTAATGTGAGAGATCTCAGTTGTTCGACCATGTTCAACAAGAATCTTGTCCTAGCTGATGTATGTAGCAGTGTTTTGCAGATTTTCACTATAGGGAGTAAGGTGTGCAGTTGCATCAGTAGTTGGGACCTATTCTTGATTCTTGGGAAATATGGTAGATGTTAAAGTATGAACTTGATTGATAATGGATGCCTTATAATGCAAACAGTGAGCTGCGGAGTGCCCTCTTTTATAGCATGTTTGGCATTTAATAACTTGCTTATTTTTGTTGTTGGTTGGTTGTGTTGCATTCTTGGAAGGATATGTGTCTTTGTTCTGGAGTTTTGTATTAGTATTCTTGGCTTTGTAATGAAATAAAGCTTGCTGTGGTGAGGCTTTCATTGGCGAGATTGCTTTCCTCATTGTAATGCAGGGAAAAGAATTCTTTCAAATAAATTGGTTGAAGTTGAGTACGAACAACAAATTTAAATCCTTGATAAGTGGAGGGAAGATCATTGAGAGTATAAAATATTTTATATTCTTTATCTATATTAGTTCATGCTGCAGCTTATGTTGTCTACCATGATCTTGATATGTGTAAGATACTATCATGTTATTTGACCCCATTGTAATATTATGCAACTCGTTTTTGAGTTGGATAACTCTTGATCTATTCGGTGGCCTGAAATCTTTGCTCGAGTGTTGTCCATATCTTGCAATGAAGATCATAAGCGGATGAAGATGATGTGAAAAAGATGGTAGTAGAAAGATTTTGATCCATCAGAATTTATACCTTCCATATGTTGTAATTTTCATATGTAAAAGAGTTGTGAAACACATTCTTGATATTTGTCATTAAGAACTTCAAAGTAGCAAGAATACTTCTTTCCTTCATTTTGTTGAAGAAATCTACAGATTGTTGAGAGGTTGAAGAAGAAGACTCCACGGATCAGCAATGTATTAAAGCTTTGGCTCTGATACCATCAGAAATTCTTGAGACAAGAAAGCACGGGAGAAATATGGTTAACTTGCTCTGCTTAATGTTTTAATTAACCGTTATTATATGTGCCTATATTTATAGACATAAGAGTGGCAATATGTAAATATATAAGTGACGTTAGATAATATATATATGTCTTTTTCTTCAACAGTCTATAGACCCTAACTGCCTATCACGCCGTGGAGCACGGGAGAAAAAGCAGATGAGACTTTTTAATTACATCACAGCAAACAGTACTCAAATTTAATGACAAAATTAAGATTTTAAGTTTGTGCAAAATGTGAACAGAATGGCTAAAGGTTCAATTTAGCGTCTCCAGACTAAATTTCTATTACAAATTTATAAGTACGGTGTAAATCAAAAATTAGAACAATAAATTTTTGAGTTCATAAATGAAACAAAATTATACTACGTCTCGAGAATATACAGTTGCTGCGACACAAATTTACTGTCCGTTAAATCATCATACTTGCGTGAGCGTCCAAAATAATAACAATAACAAATAACTTTACCTTGATTGATAAAGTAACCTTATAAATTTAAGAAAAAATTACACACATACCACGCAATTGCAGTTGCTGCGACACAAATTTACTGTCCGTTAAATCATCATACTTGCGATTTTACTTATGCTGGTATGCATTTACATATCTAACACCTATATTTTAATTTTTAAGCTAACCATTTTACTTATGCTGGTGAATGTGTGTTTCACCGTTTAAAGGTTAATAATAGTTATACTTTTGATGTTATATGAAGGATTTGAATGTTATGAATGTTTTAAAAAATAGATGTTTAATATATAAATACATAAGAATCATATGTAAATTTAGCAAATCAAATATGCATGTAATGAAATAAGAGCACAATGATGAAGAAATCAATGATGGGTAACTGCTCGCTCATTGTACGTCAGAAACTCTCATTCGATTGCTGCTCATAGAATTTTCAGTTAGTAACAATCCTACTTAAACTGAAAATGACAAATAAAATCAGGAGAAATTTATTTTACGAGGGTCGGACATTTGCCTTTGCCTC